GTAGGTGTGTGTGTTTGCGAGGAAGTGTGTTTGAGTGTTTTTGTGTGCGAGAGTGTGTGTGTGTGTGTGTGTGTGTACGTATGAGTGTGTATCTTGTTCATGGTAACTGAGGTGGGAAAAGCTGCCTACCGTGGTGATACCATTCCCCGAGCAGCAGATTTGCACATATGAGAAAGGGAGCTCAGCACTGGTGTGAATACATGAACTCATTGCTTTCAGATGTCGATGTAACGTCACCAGCTGTTTCCAGTTCCCGCCGCCTTGATTTTCCCCAATAACTGGAAACTGGTAACTGGAACTGTCAGCTAAAGAAACACTTTCTCCCTTAAGTTGCTTTTGCCAGAATGTTCTACCCCAGCATGAGGAAAGGAAAGCAAGACAAGAGTTAAGCCGAGTGTATTGCATTTGCAGACAAACACTCAGCAAACACTTAGCACACACAAACACTCCGAGTAGAGACTGTGAATGTCAGGCTTGCTGGGGATGAAGATGCAATTGACATGGACATGAAAGTGAGCCCAGGTGTATTCAAGAACCTTGTGTTGTCCGTGTAAAGGTATGTGCATGCCTGGTACACTGTCTGTGTATCACCAAGGCTAGTCAGTTGACGCTTCGTAGTGCCTGGAGGGCAGATGTGGCTGGGCTCACATGTGGGCACTGGCATGAGGTCCATGGGTCCTACACTCAATCACCAAGCATACCAATGCTGCTGGGCCGGAGCAGCAGAATGAGGTAGAAGAAGGCAGGCTCACTGCTTGGCTTTGGTGCACATTTTCAGTGGAGCATAGGACCCATCCCATAATCCCCAAGAACAGGACACAATCAGATGTTAAGGGTGACAAAGTAGCAGACATTTGAAACATGCATATGCCTGTTTCACAAGCTGCTAGGCATGGGGCATACTTACCTGTGTCCACATGATTGAGTACATCTACATATGTACATGTATATATAACACAGGTACACACACACACACACACACACGCACCTCTGGAAAGCACAAGGAATGAAATCCTTTGGTGGTGTAGATGTCATTAAGGAAGGCTAAAGAATCTGGAAGTTCACAGTTTGCACGTTAAATTCCCTCTGAAAACATCGGGATATCCTACAGCCAGACCACTTACACTCTACCAATCGCTCTCTAACCCGTGCCAACCTCCCTGTCCATCAGAGGTGTAACAGAAGCCCATGGGCACCAAGGAGCCCTGTGGTAGCATTGTTTTGTTGTGACTCCCCAGGAATGGTGCGCAGGGCCCACACTCACCCTGCATCTTTTCCAGCTTGCCCATGTACAGGTTAAAGAGAGAGTAGATGCGCTCTGTCTCACGGTCCCCATCAATGTCCAGCTGGATGTTTGCTGGGAGCCCACTGTCCAAACACAGTAAGTACAAAGTGGTGAGTGCATTTTCTTGAACAGTGCTTCTGTGTGTGTGAGAGAGAGACAGAGACAGAGAAACAGAGAGGCAGAGAGAGAGAGAAGACAGAGACACACTGAGAGAGAGAGACAGAAACAGACACAGAGAGAAAGCGAGAAAGAGAGAGACAGAGACAGACACACACACACAGAGATGGGGGGACTTTGAACATGGTAGTATATGAGAAAGGGTGTTGAGGCACATAGGGTGAGAATGACCCAGAACAGACTCACACACCAGTTTGTGAATCCCCCTCATCCTTGAAGGCTGCCGGGCTCTGGCTCCTGTCCCGGACTAAAGATGGAGGAAACCCTTGATTCCCTCCCAGGAGAATTCTGGGAATACAGGACCACACACACACTTGAGAACCTGACAAGGAGCTGCCTGAGCATCAGGCTTTGCACTAATGAAGCTGGATACAATGACTCCAAGGCTCTGGGAGGGTTAAATGGAAGCCTGAAGGGTGAGTGACCCTGAGCAGTCCTTCATTTCAGGACTTGTCACCTGAGGCTCTTGCTGCTTCTTTTATGTGCACAAGCTACACACGAGTCAAACAAGAGGCACTACCAATCTTCATGGCATAGGCCACCCCCAGGATTGGCAGAGCCCTGACAATTGCAGGAGGCCCGGCTGGCCACAGGGCCCAGAAGGCAACATCCTGCCTCAGTTTCTAAGAAGGTGATATATGTAGTGAACCAAGTAGAGAAATCAGGGAGAGGCATCTGTGAACAAGGATGTTCTTGGGATGCACAAGCCATTAATGTTCTTCACAGAAGAGACAGAGAACCCAGGACAGGGTGCTCTGTCTTCACACCCTCCACACAAGCCTACCACTCCTGAAGACGTCTCTGCCCTAGGCAGGAGACAGAGAGAAACCACAAAGGCTTGCATCTCCAATCAACCTATGTAGAGTGTTTCGGGGACCACGCCAAGGGCTCCCCCAAGAACAGCTCTGTCCATTTGTTTCTGAGCGGGTATTTGTTGCATTTTAGTCACAATTCAGTGCCTTAGCTGACGGCCTTACGTGGCGCAAAGGCCAACAGCTGGGCCTGGTTGACAGGGCTGTAGAGCCGTTTACCTACCCAGTGCAGGGAGTACAGCCAGCCGCTGAGTCTGAGGAGGCCCTGCAGCAGAGCCAGTGGCCATTCAGGTAGGCAGACGGGTGGTACACGGTGAGGCGCTTCTGGTTGCACTGACTCACTTTGGTGAGGATGTCAATCCAGTCCTTGGCCTCCACACAGTTGTTGGCCTGGATATACAGTGCACGCTCCGGCTGGATGACCTGGAACATCTGAGCGCATGATGGGATCGGGGCTGTTAGTCCAGCAGGTGCCAGGCCATATGCCTAGCTTCTGGTAGGTTCTACCACTGGGCCAGGCAGAGAAGGAGTGTCCAGGTGGCAGAGTCCCCAGGCCTGGATTTGCAGGGGAGCGGGGGAGGGCACATCTCCAACAGAGAAGGTGGGCGAGGGGGAGGAGAGCCAGCCTGTCACTCACATTTTTCATTCGGAAGGACTCCTCCTCTAGCCTCTCCACGGCCAAGATGTTCTCGATCGGGATGTTGCAGAGTGGCTGGTCACCTACAAAGAAGGGGTGGGGGTTGTGCTCAGCCTCACAGCACCTTGAATCACCGCTCTGGGGCTCTGCATCCTTCAGAGGAAAAGGAGCAAGAAAGACACAAAAAGGGGTGCCGGGGCAGCGATGCTACAGACAGTTGAGGAAATAAAAGTGGGGGGACGGAGGGTCTGCCGCACCAAGGTCAGCTCTGTACCCTCTGGTTCTATGGGGAGCAGATTCCCCAAAATAGAGTCACTTGCCCTCAAGGGGTCACGTGCCCGAGGCTGAGACTTCTCAGATCTGCCCTGACCCCCTGCTCCCAGGCTGCTGCGGGAGTCAGCCTGCACCGCTGGCTGGGGGAGGGCCCCCGCCCTGCTGGGCCCCGAATGAGGGATGGTAGAAACTCATTACCTTTGCTTTTCTGGTAGGTGAACTCGTGGTTCGTCAGGCGAAACCACCTCTTTTTAAAATTCTTCATTCCAAATCGTTTCCTTCCTTGGGCCCGCTTAATCATGAAGCTGTCACAAAGAGTACATGGCACTCAGCCAATGTTCTCAGGTCAGGGCCCGAGCACATAATCACAATAATTCCAGGGACATAATCATAATAATTCTACATCCACACGAGCCACAGGTGGGCCGTGGTGCTGAAACCCTGCCGTCTTCTTTGTGCTGAGTCGAAGGGAACACACTCGTGGTTTTTAAAAGCAGTTTTGTCTTTTTACTTGTGCTTTCTTAGAAAGAACAATTTTCCTTGACCTGTAAACACATGGGGCTTGTGTGAACTTTAGAAAGTAGGGGCAGCTGTGTGCGGCTCTGGCTTGACCATACAGAGGGGCAGCTGTGTGCGGCTCTTGATGGCTCTGTGGAGAAGAACCTGTGGGTTCCTCGAACAGGATTCATACAGGATTCTTGCTCAGTTCTTGACCCAAGTACTGCGTGCATCAGTGACTCTCTCTAACTGCCGCCAGTATTTCCTCATGAGGCGGTGGAGGCAGAACTTGCCTAAGTGTGCAATGCCGCCCCACAGTTCTCTGCACGTTGGCAGGTAATGGACTGAGGAATGCCATGGCAGAGGTGGAAGTGGAGCCCTTTAATTATGGTGTGGCACAGTTACCACCGGAAATGGATTAGATGATTAGGTAGCACGTGGTAGGAAGCGACAGGCCAGTCTCCAGGATGACGCTAACTTCATGTGGTCTGAGGACATGGCCCTGAAGAGGAACAGGTAGTGCTTCCACAGGGGGTAAAAACTCGAGGCTGCAGCATAAGAAAGCGAGGGGAATTCTAGTAGTGTGTTGGCAGAGCTGGAGAGGGCGCGCCTACCACACTGCAATGGCCAGTTACTCTGCGTTGTTACCATCGGCACAGGGTTTGCAAGCCCTGAACAACACTGGCTACGTTAAGGTTATGAGACAAACCTGATGCTTTGGGGGCTGTGAATTAAATGTGTGTCACATGTCATGTATGTAGTCAACACTATCTTAACACCTGGTTAAGGTAGGAGGTGATTTAAAGAAAGACGGCAGCTATTGTTAGGGCAGCCTGACGGTAACCTACAGACGGTTCAAGCTTGAGCCAAAGGGACACAAAGGGGACTGGGATTCAGGGCAGGGCTCATGGGAAGTAGGCATGTCTGTCAAAGTCCAGGCAAACAAGAGCAGGACGAATTCCCAGGACCCTCAGGCAGGGCAGTGTGGGATGGAAGGGATGGGGGCGGAGGAGGTGGCCAATCATGTAACAGTCTCCCCAACCAGACCTAATTCCTTACCCTTCTTTAAGCAGGATGGGCTGCTCTATGCTCTTAGGGTCCCTTCTCCCCGAGGATGAGATCAAGTCCAGGAACTGAAGCGGGAGGAGAGAAGACATCAGGAGGGGAAGCTTGTGGACAGTGTCTGTCCTGCCAGAACCCTATCTGGGGCGCTGGCAGATGGCCTCTGAACCCATGGGGAAGGTTTGGGGATGTGAGTCCTAAGAGAATGAAGGGTCTGCCCTTGTCTTCAGTGTATTAGCCCGGTCCACCCCAGCAGCCGACCTTGGCGGGGCTGTCTTCAGGAGCCAGGTGGGTGCTAGTGAAGCCACCTGGGTGTCACAAGGTCAGGCTCTAGCTGTCCACCCTGAGGTCCAGATGGGAGGGGTATTAATCCATCCGGAGCCCCACTAGCTCTGCCTGGCTGAGGTGGCTCTTCCCCCTGGTCCCAGCTCTGGTGTGTGACTGCTCCATTCTTTCTTTGGATCCCTTCCATCAGTGCCATCAGAAGGTTACCCTGAGCTGCAATCCCTTCTTCCCTTTCACTGCCCGGGACTTTTGTGATTTCTAAGCTAGAAGTCATGTACACCACTTCTGAATGGTAGAGCAAAATCAAAGCCCAGGGCTCTGAAGTGTCTCTCTCCACATGTCAGGATTCAGAGTTCAGGACTCAGGCGGCACACACAGGGGTTAACAGGGGAAACGTAAGACCTGCGCCGACCAGTTCTGGTCAACTTGACACAAACCTAGCCACATCTGGGAAGCGGGATCCCTGATGGAGAGATCGTTTCCATCGATTCACCAGTGGGCTTGTCTATAGGGCACTTTCCTGATTAATGACTGATGTGGGAGGGCCCAGCCCACAGTAGTCAATGCCACCCATGGGCAGGTGGTCTTGGATGGCATAAGAAGCAAACTGAGCAAGCCTTGAGCCAGTCAGTGGAATTCCCCTACGCTCTCTGCTTCAGTTCCTGCCTCCAGGTTCCTGCTAGAGTTCTTGGCCTCGGTGATGGACTGTGGCGCAGAAGTGTAAGCCAAATAAACCCTTCACCATGCCCTCACCCACCAAGTTGGTGTGGTTAATGTTATATCACAGCAAAAGAAAGCAACTTAACAGAAGGCCTTTGGCACAGAAAACCGAGGGTGAGCCTTCATAAAGGGGGAGCCAAAGGTGAATTTTAAGGCAGGCAGGCTAGCCTCAGGGTTTTTTTTTAAATTTATTTTTATGTACATTTGCTGTTTGGCATATATATGTCTGTGTGAGAGGGTTGGATCCACTGGAATTTGAGTTACACCGCAGACAGTTGTGAGCTGCCACGTGGGTGCTGGGAACTGAACCAGGGTCCTCTGGAAGCGCAGCCAATGCTCTTAACCGGCTCTTAACTGTTGAGCCATCTCTCCAGCCCCGTCCAGCCTCCGTTTAAGAGGTGAGGTCGATCCTGGGAATGGCTGAGGATGTGGGGGATTGTGCCCTGGAGGGTGAGACACTTACATTTTTCACAGCATCTGCGTACTTCTGCTCATTGAAGAATTCATAGAACGTCGCCATGTACGACTCCTTAAAACTGGCCTAAAATGAAACAGGTCACCTGCTGACAGCCACCAGCGGTCAAGAGCCACCAGTGCTCATGGCCCAGATCTGAAAGCTACAACACTCAGTGATAAGCCTAGGGAGCAACAGGTGCGGCTATTCCAGGCCACACAGTCAAAGCATGCAGCTCTGCCTAGAGGCTTCAGCATCAAGCTTGGGGGACTAAAACATGAGCCGCAGAGGTTGCTAGGGAGTCTGTGCTGAAGCCTCTAGTGCAAAGTACCTCTAGATACTCTTATCAACACCTGGGGCCTGGGGTTATGGGCTGCAAAGCAGCTACAGATGGAGTCACTGCAGCCTGGGGCTATCGTCATGGATCAAAGCTAAGTTCAGTCTGGAAGAACGGGAGTCCTGACCAAGGGGGTAAGAGGGGCTCAGCCTCTGCTGTCCAGGATGCAGAGGCAGTGCATGGATGAATGGAGCTGAGCCTCCCTGGGTTTCCTCCTAAAGCACCAACATCCCAGCACGGCCAAGGTCAAGACCACACGTTTGGCCCACTATGGCTAAGGGCCCTGGGGCAAAGGAGAGAAAGCTCAGTCACCTTGGGGCTACCCTGCTCACTATGGCCGGTGAACCTCCCCACAAAGGCTGGTAAGGGCAGACACAGGAGGAAGTGCTGGAATGTTTGGAGCTGGGAGAAGGAGAAACTGGCTTTAATTCTCTTCACTGTCCTCTTAACTGTGACAAACATACCGTCCCCTATATGCAAATCATTTCAATTGCAGCTTCTTTAGAGGAAAAAAAAAACAACCCCAACAACCCAGCATTTATAAAGAGACAAAATTATGAGAGTGGACTTACAGACTTGGACTTGGACAAGCTGCCAAGAGTCTGGATCGTTTTTGAGATAAGTGTCAGGGTTCTGGAAGTCTGTGGATCCTGAATAGGCAAGACAAGAGAAATGTGGGCTTCGTTAGTTCTGGAAGAGCAGCTGTCAATCCCAGAATAAGATAAAGCCGATGACACTGTCGAAAACTATGCCAGCACGGGAGTATGTGCCTGGGGCTGGACCTTGACACAGGTCAGCAACCTGTTTTATCAAGACACCAGGTCCCTGGCATTGCTAGCAGAGAAGAGCCGCGTGGCTGAGGACTCTGCCTGCTATGCAAAGGCCCCTCTGGAAATGAAAGCAATCCTGCAGGTTGTTGCAGCCTTAGCTGAGGTTCCTTAAGCCTTGCTAGGGATGCCTGCAGCTTTGACATGGTGTAGAGGGTTTAACTTAAAGCAAGGGAGGCTCCAAAGCTCCAACAGGCCACACTGTAACCTGCTGTGACCTGCTGGGGGCTGCTCTCCTAGACCTTGCCTCTGCCAGGCACACATCTGTCACTCCAGTAGAAGGCTATGCCCCTCTCCCCAGACAGGGCTTGACTAGCATGTGCACCATGATGAAGAAATGTGTGTATATTGTAGACGGTAGGAAGAACACGAATAGAGACTATCAGGTAAGACCCTGGTCAGACCATGAATTATTATTTACAACAGTATTGAATGGGGGCTGGAGACAGTTCAGTTGGTGAAGTGTTGTCATAGGAGCATGAGTTTGGTCCCCAGTACCCACACGAGAGGTGGAACCGGGTAGCATGTACTTGTAACCCAAGCACAGAAGAGGTGGAGGGAGGCAGCTTCCTGGAGCTCAGTGGCCAGTTAGTCCAGCCTAGTTGGCAAGCTCCAGGTCCCAATGAGAGACCCTGCCTCAAAAAATAAGATGGCTTGTGCCTGAAGAGAGATATCCAAGTCTGACCTATGCACCCCTTCACCAACAAACACCCACATATGCACAAATACAAAACATGATAAAATAGTACTGATTCTCTCAACAGAGTGAGGAAAGCTGCCCCCTCCTCCACCGCCTTCCACTTGCAGAAGCCTAGCTGGTTAAGGAGAACCAGCTGGCTAAGGAGAGTGTGCCATTTAAGGGGGACTGGCTAGCTGAGGTGGACGGCCAAGCTGAGAAGGGCTGGCTATCTGGCTCACAGGACAACTCACTTACCGTGTGGTGGGGTGTCAGCTGGAAAAGGTTCGGGGACAGGATGGCAGGAGCAAAGAACCGCAGGAAGATGAAGCTGCTCACGGCAGTGTACCTCACATCCAGGTCATCTGAGGCAGACAGGGGACAGTTTCAGTCTGGGACAGAAGCATGACATACAGCTTCCGCTCTTGCTCGGCAATTCTCTAGGGCCTCGTAGACAAGCCAGGCTCAGCTCAGGACTCTATTTCTGTCTCTCCGCCTGTTTAAGCATTCTCTCTATCTTCTGCTCTTTCTTCAGTCTATACGTGTTTCTGTCACTCCTTTGCCTGTCTCTATAGCACTGTAGGCGTGTTTCTACATATCTCTTCCTGTCTCTATCTCTGCCTCTACCTCTGCCCATTTCTCTGTCTCACTGTTTCTCTCATTATGTCACAAGAGGACACAGTCTGGCAGCTGAGCGTCAGGGGTGTACCGTCCCTCACCAAGGCCTCCTGAGGACTCACTGTTGGGTGGCCCTACTCCCGTAGGGGTGAGATGATAACTTTTTATTTTGTTGTTGGAAACTCCCTCCCTAGCCTTATGAGGCTGACAGTCCCAGAGCTTTGGGAATGGAGCAGCCTGGGGTCTGCAGGATACATGCCAATTCATGTTCCCCAGAGGCTGGCCCTGGGAGCAAGGTGGCCCCAGCCTGGGTGGAAGAGTAATGGGGGCTCACATGGCTTGTGGGATGATCTGCTTGGAATGGTAGGTGTGGGGCCTGGAAGAGTGTGGGGCAGGGCTTGGGACAGGAAAGGAAAGCACTGGGGTATGGGCAGCCTGAGAGGTCTAGTCTGCACAGGACAAGTATTGGGTACAAGGCCTATAGGGTCCAAGAAGTCTGGGGAGTATCATGGTGTGAAGGGAGGCTACCATGAGATGAAGTTTTTTTTGGTGGGGGGAGAGTGAGGCATACAGTTTAGGGAGGGCTATGGGGAGGTACCTTTGCTTCTCCATGAGCCAGTGGGGAGTAAGAAACAGGTCTGCAGAATTGAGTCACCAGGAAACCTTTCCCTAGATCCCCTGACACTTGGGGTTCTTCGTGAGGAAAAGGCACCCAAGGGGCTGGTCTTCTTGGCAAGGCAGTAATTCAGCATCATGACCCCATGAAAACAGGCAAAGGCATTTCCAGGAGGATATGTTCACACTATAGGATCCAGGTCCCTTCCCAGAAACTGGGGAATTGTGAGCCAAGGTGTCTGGTGCGGCTGAGTGCTCGTCCCCAGCTCAGGTCGTGTGGCTCACCTTGGAATCGCTTGGCAGCCGCCTCCCGCAGGGAAAAGAAGATGTCACACATGACGGTGGGACAGCTCACGCCAGACTTAGTGATGACCGTGAAGATGCGATCCACATACTGCCTCAGGCTCTCCTACAAGGGTTGGGCAATCAGACCCAGCGTCTCCCTGAGGCCAAGACAGCACCAGAGCCATGCCCAGGAATGGGGGAGCCCAGACTGATATTTACAAACACCCTTGCCGTGAAGATCAGTATCGAGTGACCCCAGTAATCCACCCCTGGTTACTGAGTGTAGACTGAACTTCACTAGGATCCAAGGAACTTGCACTTCTGATTAGAAGTCTGAGCCTAAAGAAGCCTGCTTTATAAGAAGTCATAAGAAGGCGCTAACACATAGGAGCCTCTCGAGCAGCCTGGCATGCTTCACGTGGAAAGGTTTGTTTATGCTGAGTTGAGATCTGGTGGAGTTCATGGGTCAGGTCCAGGCCCTCAGAAGACATTGGGAGCTGATCAGGCCTCTAAGAGGCAGGTGAGTGGAGCAGTGGCAGGCAGGAGGTAATTGGCATCAGATGACGATAGCTCTTGTGAGCTCAAGGCTGTACTCAGGGCCAAGGGCCAGAGCAGTGGTTTGGAGCCCTGCCATCCTTGCCTTGCCTGCAATCTTCAAGCAGTGTCTATACAGCCATGAACAGAAACCCCATCAGGCTTTGGAAAGTGTCCCAGAACAAAGCAGGTACCTTACCATGTTGTTCTCAAGGTTTTCACCATCTTTCAGCTTCACGGGGTCGATTTCACAGGACTTGTGGCTCTGGCAGATCTGGAAGAATGTGAAGATGTGCTGCACAGTGTGGGAAGACGGATCTGAAAGGCTTCCTGAGGAAGCTGGCCCTCCTGGAGGCAGCTCCCACGGTGGATGCTGGACAGCTTACGGGCATGGGGTGGTATTGCAAGGCTTGAGCCTGGACTGCAGTTGCCTCAAGGACCAGCCTTGACCCCACATAGCCCCAGGTAATGCCACAGAGTCCCATGAGGTCCTGTGGGACCCCACACGGCTTCTGGGAGGAACTGGTGAAGCATGGAGGCAAGAGCAGGAAGTGTAGCCTCTATCAGAGCCAGGCAGTGGCCATTTCCCCAAGACTGCACTGCTTGGCTTACTCATGAAGAGAAACGCCTCAAAACTTCAAGAACATTTTTCCTCTCAACTGTTCCCATGATTCTGCTCATGGATAAAACCAGTTTTCTAGTTTAAATTTTCTCACATTACAAAGAACCTGCTTTTCACAACCTGCCTTCCTGGCAAGGTGTCCAGTAAGAGTCACATGAGTGGTGGAGTTAAGAGAAGGGAGTAAGCCAGCCTGAATCACAGGCAGGGACAGTCCAGGCCTCAGACAGTGCAGGTCACAGAGGTAGCCATTAGGGATTGAAGGATCCACAGCATGTGGGAAGGAGTTAGTAAGAAGAATGAGGTTTCTCTTGCTTGTCCTTCTGTCTTTAGCAGTGAGAAAATATCTATCTACCTACCTATCTGCCTGCCTACCTACCATCTATCTAGCCATCAGTCATCTATCTATAGCTATCTATGTATCCATCTATCATCTACCTATCTTTCTCTCGCTATCATATCTATAATCTATCATTTATCTACCTATCATCTAGATCGATCTATCTATCCATCCATCTATCTATCTATCTATCTATCTATCTATCTATCTATCTATCTATCTATCTATCATATCCATCATCTATATCTATCTGTCTTCTATCTATCATCTATCATATCTATCATCTATCTATCATTTTATATCTACCTATCATCTATATCTATCTGTCTGTCTTCTATCTATCTACCTACCTGTCAGTCCGTCTGTCTATCTATCTATCTATCTATCTATCTATCTATCTATCCATCCATCCATCTATCTTTTCATCTCTATCTACAGCCATACATCCATCTGAAAGCAAAAAGGATTCTGGAATATATACAAAATATCCTCTATAAATGCTAATAAAATAAGGTTCCTGTGGGTGGCTGGGTAGCTCTGCTCTCACAGAAGCCCTGATCACCATGACAAAGTGGCCAGGGCCATCTCACCTCCTCAATGGTGGGCTTCAGGGTCACATGGAGGTAGTGCATGCCTGCCAGCTTCATCGTCTCATCTATGCACTTAGATGTCAGTGAGTTTCCTCGGAAGATGGTGTTGGGGTCCCTGGAAAACAGCACAGGGACCATTTCTGCCTTGTCAAGGCACTAAGGGAGCAAAGCCTCCTGTGAGATCCTGGTTACTGGGTGAGGACATGAACACTGGCTGGCCTGGTGTTCTATGGGAAAAAAACCCTGTCTCACCAAGTTCCTTTGTTATTGATGGCCACTGCCTCCACCCTTCTAACAAAGGATGCTTCTGCAAGAGCAAGCCGCAGGCTGCACACACAAAGCCAGGCGGCAGCCGGCTGCTGATTACCATGCCATCTTCACTCTGCTTAATTCTTTATCAAGGGCATCTTGGAATGAGCCTTGCTGTCCCAGGAGAGTGCAGACCCCACCTTCTGACTCAGTAATGGGGCTCTCCAGGGAAACCTGGAACTCACCAGGGTAGATATAACTGGTCCTTCAGGACAGGGGGCCCAGTCTAACCCCTCCCCGCCCTTTCTGACTCTTTCCAGAAATGGTGATTTCTAAAGGGACCAATAAGGAAATCTGTCAAAGAGGGTCAGAAACCTGTTTGGCTCTTGAAGATCTAACACCCCTTTTCCCACCAATGCTGTGCACAGATAAGGTTTGGGATGGCTACTTTTGATGTCTCACCACTGGGTACCCAGGGACCCACCTACCCGTCAACGGTATTGATAGGTGGGGAGCAGCAAGGTCGAGTGGGAGGCAAAGAATGGGAATGGATCTTTGTATGGGGCTGGAAAGCATGGAGGTGGGAAGGGGGCTGGGCACGAAGGGGCTGGGGCACGAAGGGGCTGGGGCACGAGGGGGCACTTACTGGGTCCTCTTCACCTCTGCACTGGCGATGGCACTGATGAACGGCACTACCCTGCCATAGTGCAGCAGGAGCCGTACCAGGGGAATGGCTGCCTCTTGCTTATCTCTGCATACCTCACCCAGGATGTGAGCTGCTGAGGCGGAGACAGGCTGGGCAGAGGGGCAGTGTGAGCAGTGAGCACACAAGGTGGCACAACCCATACCCCCTGCAGGTTATGCCCCATCCCTAGCCAGGACCTGACGACTCCATACCACCCCGTGGTCATGTGCATAAGAGCGCAGGGGGCCACCGTGCAGAGGGCCACTCACCCCAGCTGTGGCTTCCTTTCCATCTATAAATATCCTGGGCCTCTTTGCAGAGAAACCCACACCTTATGAAAGCGTGTGTTAAAACTTCTAGAGCAGTGGTTCTCAACATTCTTCGCAAAGTTATTTTTGTTGCTACTTCATAGCTGTAATTTTGCTACTGTTATGAACTGTCATGCAAATATATGCAGAAATAGTTGATATTCGACCCCACTGAAAGGGTCATTGCGCAGGGGTCATGACCCATGGGTTGAGAACCACTGCTCTAGTGGCTTAGGCCACTCCCACCAAACCCCAAATCCAGCAGCACTGGGGCTGGACCAGGGAGCAGGTCAGGCTCCTGCAGCTACAACTGAAGAGGGTTAAGGCTCATGAGCACAGCAAAATGGGTACAAAATGGATGCCGGAAACAGGGTGGCAAAGGCTCAGTGTGCTCTGGGTAGGCACAGCCTGACGGTTGAGTGTACACAGGGCAGGTTTGTGGATCTAGACTTGGGCCTTCAGCAGTAAATGCAGCTGACACACACCTCCACGTCTGCAGACTTCAATAGCAGGTCACGCAGTGGGCTGTAGTACTCAGAGGAGAAGACATGGTCTTCTGTATAAACTACGTTCAGCCTCAGTGACCCCAGGTCGTCTGGCTTCAGGCTCTTACCACCATTGTCACGGGGCTGGAGGAAGTACCTGGGAAGGAAGGACATGGTCAGCAGGTAAGGGCAGGGTCCTCCCAGCCAGTGCTCTGCCCCTGGATAACCTCTGCTTTCACAGATGTGTCTCAAGCATAAAGACAGGGCTCCAGGGCTGTTCTCCAGGATGTCCCAGGATGTGGCCACCTTTAAGTCTCCTGTAGCAGAGCTACAGACTTATAGGCTGAGGGGAAGCTGAAACAGTGGGGTCAGAGGTGAGGAAGGGGCAAGGAAAGAGATGAACTGCTGGAACAAGATGGATATGGGAAGCCAGCAAAGGTTACTATACCAAGGATACTATACCAAGACAGTGCTTGGACAAAACGGGGACCCTCTCAACACAAGCATGCTGGTAACCAGTGTGCCACTGCAGTGTTTTCTGGGAACTTTTCTCTCTTTATTGGCCCATGTTGGCCATCCCTCTCTACCCAAATGTTCCTGGCCAGGCAGCTTGTCATCTGCCAAAGTGGAGCCCTGTGTCCCAGAACCTGGCCATGGACTTGCAGAGTTAGAAGTCAGTTTCCTGGGACAGGAGTCTACTTCAGCACCCTCAGAGTGACAGCTGGCATGGACAACAGGACATGGGATTCATTAGCCTCTTGTCTTTAAAGAACCAGCCATGGAATAAAATGAAGATGCACTCTAGGCAGAGTGTCTGGAGAAGCCAGAAATAGAGTCATGAGAAGCAGAAATCAAGCTTTATGAGTACCTGGGTGGGTTCCGAGACAGAGAAAGTCTGTCTGAAGAGCCTATGAAGACCCACACACCCTGCAAGCTGGCCCTGACCAGGGACCCATGACCACCCACAGCAAAGCCAACCACTGGACTGTGCTCACATGCACAGAAGAGACCCAAAGGCGCTCTTAGGTCTAAAATTTGCTTTTAACTGGAACCATTAGGTTCCCAGCACCGCTGGCCTTCCTTTCCGTATGGTCGCCTCTCTCCACTAGCTGTGTGGTACCTACTGTATGAACAGAAGCCTGGTCAGCCAGCTGAGTAAAGTAAGAGCGTCAAAGGTCAGGGTAGCATAGTGCCTTTTGCAGTTAGAAGCTGTTTTGCATTTCCAGCCTTGTACCTTGAAAAGCATACCTACCAAGCTTCGTATGAGCTAGAGTGTCGAAGCACCCTGAGAGGGATCCTCAGCTCCCCAAGAAACTCGTCCCCAAACTTCAGGTTGCTGGCGTTCCAGAGGTCAACTCTAAAAAAGATGAGCAAGTGCTATTCAGCTCTCACCAAGCAGGGCCACCTAGTGGGTAGAGGGTGGAGAGAGGCTGCTTTCCAGTGGAGAGTGGTGGTGGTGAGGGGGTGGGGGGTCAGGGAATAAAGGCCTCCAGTTCTTAAAATGTGCCTGTGAGGAATTTTGTCAAGAACAGGTGAGCCAGGCTACATTGTGGAGCACAGCTTTTGATTCTCGGTGCCATGGACAAGTATTGGGCAGCCAGGATACCTGTGTCTGGGAGCCAGTGGGGGTGAGTCCCAGCTGTCTGGTGGGGTCACTATCCATGGCAGAGCCAAAAAGCTGTTCCATTCTTGGCTATGACCTGGGTCCCTTCACCTAGGAGTAACCCTAGGACGCTAAGCAGGCATTAGAGGTATGTTAAGGAACCAGGGCCTTGGCTCTGCCCCAGATGTGCCTGCAGGCCCAGCACATAGAGCAGTAGAGGCTGAGCAGCTGCCCACAAGACAAAATGGCAAGCCAGGACAGATGCTCCACCATGACTATACTTGGGAGGGTTATTGGACATGTGATTGCCCTCCTCCTAAAACTTAGAAGCCCTGCCTCTGTCTCCATCAAGCACTAGACTGTGGGGTATGAGCCATGATCAAGGGGTACCCACTGGAGGGCCTGCATCTGGGTCCCAAAGAGCCACAAGCTACAACACAGACTGTAAGCATGGTGGTGTCCATTGCTTCTTGGGAGGATGGGCCACTCGGTGATGCCATTTCCCCAAGAGAATGCTCCTTGTTTCTTCCAGTTAGGGGCTGAAACACTGCACCAGAAACAGTGGGTTGTGTGGTGGTACCCGTGCTTACTAACTACTCGGCAGGCTCATGGCCATAACGCTGACAGCCTCGTGAGGCTCTACCACGCCTTGGCTAATGAGGCATCGTCACTGGAGAGGATGCTTTAGAAGACTGGGCTGGTCCTCTGTCATGCTTGCTGGTCCTACAGAGCATACCTGTGTGACGGGGTGGGGCGGGGCCCACTGAGAACATATGAACGTTCGAAGCAGGAGGGCTGCTGCTGTCTCCCACCCCAAGGTTGAAGGCCCCTGCTGTCAAGCTTCATCACATGGTGACCAGCATGTTTCCTACACAACTTAGATGGATTTAGACTCCAGGGGGTAGGGAGGGGGGAGAAGACTGTGGTTCACATTGACCTTTACAGAAGACTTGGTTTCTATAGCAACAGAGCAGGAAGACCCATACAGGACCCACACAGTACCCCCTCCCCTCCCCAAATCGGTAACATCAGAGGAGACAGGCTCTGCAGGGGAAGTCAAAGCTCGGGGATTTGTTTTCTGCTCAGAAAACAGCCTGGAGGCAGAGGTCTTGCTGGGTGCCATCAGGCTTTCCCCCAGGGCAGAGCCAATGAGAAAGCTCTGTAGCTCTGTTTTCTTCCCTGTATTTTCTAAAACAGATCCTAAACCTTTGAGGGTGAGACCCCCAAACAGCTGTGGCTGTGATGTGCCAGGGCCACCTCAATAGTTCGGGGGATGGAACCCGTTTACGTAATTAACCCTTGCCTCTTAAATGCTATCACCCTGTGTGAGTGACCCACCGAATTTCGAGTTTGTCTACGTCTTCCTCCTCAAAGTCAAAGTGGGACTTCTTGCTGTAGCTGCAGGGTCTGGTGACCTGGAGTCAGATGGGGAAAAGTAGTGTCAGATGGCTCTGCCAGGCAGCTGGGAACATACCACTTGGTATCCCACAGTGAAGGACCATGCAACTTGCCTGTGAGAATTGGGGCTGAGGGTTTCTAGACTGGGCACTTACCCTGAGGCTACACCAAGCCATGGCAGGGGCTGATTTCTCAAGAGAGGGCAGGAACATGTGCACAGAGGCAGTTTGTTCCATCTCTAAACTGTCCATCGAGTTCATGACCTTGCAGGCCCCAAGGCTTCCGGTCCTAATGTCATGAGGCAGGAGGCCAGACTACAGGGCAGTAACCTCGGCTCTTGCCATTTCCTTTTTACCCTCAAGAAGTTGTGGATAACTCCCACTACACGCACGCACGCACGCACGCACGCACGCACGTCTTTCAACAGTGAAAAGCCACAACTCTTGTGGTGTTTCTACCTCTCTTCCAACCTTGGCAAGATGCTCTGGGGAGTTTACACCCCGGGAGAGGTCAGAAAACTGAATGGATGCTCTAACACTCTTCCCTTCTGATAGTTTAGAATGGCAAGCTCCCGTAACCCAACAGGTAGGAGAAGGCTGATGATGAGGAGTGTTTGTCCACCAAGAACAAAGCAATGGGTTGAGGCCCTAGCACCGATATTAAGATGGTCTGATGTTTCATGCCTGTAACCACCGAACCCAGGCAGTGGAGGCAGGGGAATCAGAAGCTCAAAGTCCGCTCAGCTGCACAATGAGTGCAAAGCCAACCTGACATATATGAGACCCTTATCTAAAAATAATAACAGCAGTAACAATCAATGCAGGTCCTACAATTCAGCCTCAGAGTAATGGCCACAGAGTTGGCTCTGCTTTGGCCATGCTGTGTCTGATGCTGCCTTACTCAGCATCCTTTGCAAGGATTGGAGGGAGGCTTTCTGCTCTGAGCCCTAATCTTGAACTTGACACTCATGTTCCTTAACCCACGTTGTTTTGTTGTTTTGTTTTTTGTTTTTTTACTGGATGGTGAGGCAATGGTGAGCACCAAAACCACCATCCTCCCTCCTGAACACCACAGCTAGTTGTCTCACCTGCTCCTCCCAGAAACACCTATGGGACTGTCTTCCTACCTCAACCTGTCCTAACACCGCTCTCTCCCTGCTGCCTCCTTGTCTTCTCACTGAGATGTTGGTACTGCCCATGGAGACTCTCAGGGAAGCATGGCCCATCACAGCTGTGGATATCCCTCAAGTATTACCTTCCCAGGTAGGCTCCAGGCTTCCCATCACCCTCTCCCCAGCCAGCAGGACCCTAAGGTAGGTCTAGAAAGAAAGCAGTCTGGAAGCTACCTCCTCCTAAGACATGTGCCCTGTGAGGGGCTACACAGTCAGTTTTTTTTTTTCTTCCCATGCCCCCTGCCCCGGACCCAGTCTGTCCCCAGCTTAAGTCAAAGAGTGACAAGGACTCATAAGCTGGGTCTGGGTGTAGCTGCTGAGTCATAGGACAGAAGGACTGACAGCAGCAGAGTCTGGGATGGGAGGAGCAGGGACCCCACCTGCCTTTGGCAGCCTGGCACATGGCCCACAATACGGCTCTCAAGCTTCTCCAGGACACTGAGTTAATCTAATGGGCTGGAGCTCATGTCTCTAGCAAGCAAATTAGACATGCTGCAGGCATGCGTACGGAATTCTACGGAAGTGCAGGGTCTCACACAGTAGGAACAGGGCAGAAATGAGGCAGCCACTATAGTGGCTGGGGTGTCAGTAGCGTCTGTCTTCACTCCTGCCAGGCTCTAACAGCCTAGTGAAGCCACCTCAGGGGGGCCACACAAGGGTATCGACACTGCTGGCTTTGATTTTCAATTCCTACTAAACTCTCATATTTTCTGACCATAAGTTCAGGCCTACCAGGAGAGCCAGCAGCTGGAGTGAGGCCCCAGGGCTGGCCCCACCCTGTGACATCTCCGCCTGCCTGTATGGCAAGGATTTCCTAGCCACAGAATGTGTGTGTGTGGGGGGGGGGTTGCTACTCCCCACCACTCCTCCCTGCACCCTTCAGGCTGCAGACCTGCCTTTGGGCCTCCTGCTCAATTGCTCCCTACCTTTATTTTTGAGACAGGGTCCTTTTCACTGAACCAAAGCTCACTGATTTGGCTGGCTGGCTGGCTGGCTGGCCAATGAGCTTCAGGGAGCCACCTGTCTCCTTACCCTACGAACTGGAGTCACAGGTATGCACTGCCATACTTGGATTCCTATGTGGGGTCTGGGGACCTGAACTCAGGCCTCTGTGCTTGCATAGCAAATACATTACTGACAGAGGCATCCCCTATGTTCTTAAGCTTAAGGTCTAGCTATTTAACACCCACTGGTCTGAAAGTTGATCTGTAGACCAGGCTGTCCTTAAACTTGTGGTGATCTTTCTGCCTCTGCCTCTTGAGGACAGGGAGTTACAGATGTTGGACCACCATGCTGGTCTACAGCCCATCAGAACATGAGGTGATAGTGGCAGCTACATTTCTGCCTTTCCCTCCTGCTCTGTGGCAAGCTCTGAAGATGGGAACGGAGGCTTTACTTGTCCCCCGCAGCCCCCAGAACCTGTTGCTAAAGAATGAACAGGAGGCACCGAGGCCGAGAGGAGCCCCCACCCTCACCCTTCTTGACTACCCTGCTCTAGTTCTAAGAGGCCCCAGGGTGCTCTGGGCTGAATCACTTCCCCTTTTCACTCAAACCCTCACGTTTCCGGAGAAATGAACCTCACCCTGCTTGGGGAAGCTGCGGTGAACAGGCAGAAAAACAAAAGCCTCAAAACCAAACAAACAACCCAAAAGCATGTCCTGGTGATTGTGACAGCGTCAACCTGCCCCTTCCAACTTGAGCCAGCTGGTTCAGAAAGAGACATTTGGCTTTCCTCTCCTCAGAGGGAGGAAATCTCGCAGGGAACTAAACGCCCAGGATCTGAGGCTCCCTGGGCCGGGCCTGGACAGCTCCTGAGGCATAGGCAGGTGGCTCAGATTGAGACTGCTCACAGTCCTGGTGCCAAGATTCAAAGTTCTTCCCACTGGAGCACTGACCTCAAAGTAAAACACCTCATCAAATTGGGGATTGTTGGTTTTCTTCTTCACCTTTGTTTTCTTTGCTTCAGACCTGGTGAAGAAAGGAAGAGTTAGGATTACGAAAAAAAAAAAAAAAAAAAGGCTGTCAGCTCCAGATGGGTTTGAAATTGAGCTGTCAAATGCACAGTTGTTTACACCTTTATTTATCTTGCAAGTATCATCTGTCTCCACCTCCAGATGGTATGCAAAACTGGGACCTTTTCTGAGCCCAAAATACCCGGTATGGGGCTCACAAGGCTTTCTGAGAAACAAAGACACTTTACCACAATAAACCTACAAAACACATTTCACTTCCAAGTGTATCACCACTACCCCCCTGAAAAAGGTGCCAACCTCTTGGATCCAGAGCTTGACTTGGCCACTCTCCATCCCCCACAACCCACAACGGAAACCCAGGCAGGGTAGGCTGTCAGAAAGACGACTTGCCTGAAGGGTCCAGCCAACGTCACTGTGGCGTAAGGGTCACACTGCCCATTCACAATGGGGAGGCCCTGGCACTCGAAGATGCTGCAACAAAGAAGACAGTGGTCAGGGAAAGGACTTGCTGGTCATGGTGGACCAAGCTGGTGACCAGAAGTTCTATAGCTTGGCAAATTCTGGCAATAATGTGGACTAGCGTTTGCCAAGCATTGTGGAAGGAAAGCACAGAGCAGCTGGCCTTCACTGAACAACCTCTCAAGGGTATTGAGTCCTGTGGCCATCACAGTCAGAGCCTCTCCAATGAGCCCAGGTGACAGCTAAGCAGCAGGGTATCACCCCAGGACCAGCACTGCCCTCTGCTGCTCAGAGGCCTGCTCTTGTGGGGCTGCTCTTGCCTTCCCATGGTGCAAGCTCTCAGTCTGAGCGCCCTGTCTACAGGCAGGAGAGCGACAGCGATGGCCCGAGGTTGTTCACATGCTCTGACACTCACTACTTGACCATTCTGGACCGTGAGTCCCACATCTCTGCCACGCTCAGTCTTGCTGCTGACTGCACCTCTTGGTTTTTAGTTCCACTCTCCATTGACAAAGGCCTTTTGAGCGGAGGCTAGGCTCTGTGACGTTTAGGTCAGATATTCAGCATTTTCGCATTTAAGCTGTGGTTAAGGTTCTTCTGGTTTGGTTGATTTTGTTTTATGCCTTTGGGGGGAGGCTGTTCTTGATGCGAGAAAGTTCATCATTTACAAAGCTGTAGCCCTCTTTCTGTCTGTCCTACGTGTTCTGGACAAGGCTCTTCCCTAGGCTGGAAGGGATACAAGTGGTTCTTAGACACGTGTAAGCCCAGGAGGCTTTCAGTGGTCCTCTACACATGACTGAGGTTCCTCTCGGGATCTAACACCCCATGCCATGGCTCCCCTCAGCCTTTGCTCTGCCACCCTCCTGGCTGGAAGCAGTTGGAGTCCCCACGTCTTAAGATGTACCTCTTCTCAGGGGGATTGGCATGCGCTCTCAAGCATTGCTTCTGAAGCAGTGAATGTATGTTTGGTGCATCCCATGTTTCTTTGTTTGTAAGAGCCCAGAAACACGAGTCTCAACCCTGATCCCAGCTGACAGCACAGCTGGACAGACCACAGCTGGACACACCAGGGGGACCCCAGCACCTCTGCCTGCATCTTGAGGCTAAAGGCACGTCTCTGGGAGGTGTTGCATGAAGCACACTTTGTAAGAGCTCAGGCCCACTTTGAATGCTGGTGACTATTTTACCTGAGTATTCTGTGTGTGTGTGTGTGTGTGTGTGTGTGTGCACATGTGTGTTAAAGGGGCTTGTTTCTTTCTCCTCCTTGTCCACTGTGGGTCTGTAAGACTGTTACACCTTGCCGGGCTTGCTCTAACCCACCCTATTGCTCTCCAGGACTCTTAAGAGAAATGTGCCTTGTGGGATGCTCAGCACATCTCCCGGTCTGACCCAGTATTCCCCAACCCTGCATCCTTCACTGCCTTCTGGGACAGGTGTTTCATCCATTTCGATCGCTTGGCCTTTGGATACTTTTCTCCCTTCACTGGCTCATCTGTCAACAGGCCCACTGAACAGATGTCCTTCAAGTCTATCACCTTCCAGGCTGTTCTGAAAATAACAGTGCGCACGAAGCAGTGAAAAGATGGCTCCATGCAGTTCAAGTCTGCTTGTCTGGTGCAGCAGGAAGACACAAGACAACGGTCAGGATTGCAGCAGTGACGGTCTGGCCACCTCTCCATACAGAGTTTTGTGTGACAAGCACAGGCAAGGAGACCAAAAACCACAGAGACATGAAGGGAGCAGCCAAACCTTCAGTGCAGTTGGGGTCTCTAGAGGAGTGAGGTGCTGAGGAGGCAGGCAGCCACCAAGGGAAGACACAGGACAGCTGCTGCCCAGGAAGGCCAGGGAGACCCACCTGTGTGGACAGTCTCCATCTAATGCAAACATGCTTTTTTGGGGATTCGGCTACTGAGCAGAAAACAGCCTTAGGCTCTGCAGACACTGCCACGTTTTGGATGTATTGGGACGGAGCGGCTTTCACAGCCTGTGGCATAGGTGGAACACCTTAGCTTGTCCCGTGGCAGCACCCAGTGTGTCCACAGAGCACTACCCCATCCTCTCCCAGCTCAAGGGGACAGCCTGCACTTTCCAGTTCAACATGAGACCAGCCCTGCCATGGCCGGAGTAGCCTCAGACAGAAAGAGACCAGGAGCCTCCATCTCCATGCAGGGTGCGTCACTCAGAGTGAGAACCAGCTGGCCTCCTCTGCCTTCATAGAGCAGAGCAATACAGTGCCTCGAGTGTTTGAACTGTTCACTCTAAGAGTATACTCACTAAGGCCTTATATTTTTAACTTTTTTTAAATCTTTATTTATGTCTGTGCGTGCACATGCGCCCACAGAGTCCAGAAGAAGGCTTCAGATTCCCTGGGTCTGAAGTTTGTAAGTTACCCAAGAGTGGGTGCTGGGAACCAAACTCCGGGCCTCCGAAAGAACAGTGAATGCTCTTAACCACCAAGCCACCTCTCCAGCCCAACACTGGGACCCTTGAGATTCGGAAGCCAGGCTTGTTTTGACTAAGAAGCAGGGGTAATCCCCCACTGCGTACTTCACTTGCCTAAGTCCCACTTTACATGAATCAAGGTTCGAAAACGCAGGGCGCGATCTGTGTGATGATAAAATGTTCCTCATGTCTCCACCACTGCTGCTGAACCATTCCTGAAGTTTGTGAATGAAAAGTTCGAAACACACTTAGACCCTAAATCTAGAGTATAAAGTACAAGAACTGTGGCACTCCACATTTACTATGTATGAGATCTGCTCTTCAACTGAACGTTCAGGATGTGCCTGCACTGAGTAGGTGCAAAGATGTCGAGGTATAGGCAGTGATCTCACCGGGAAAGCGCAGCATACGGACAGGCCTCTGGAGAAGCTATCCTGGCCAAGGCCACACGAAGTGTGGGTCCCATTGCTGCAGTGTGGATTGGGGCAGACAACACTGGGGGCTGGCCTCCACCCTGTCCCATCTTTACTGGTCAGCTGAAGACCAGTGGCCACTACAGGACTAGTCCCTGTTCCCCAGATTCCCTTCTGAAAGTCACTCTCGTAACTGTTAAGTTTATCCCAATAAGGTAAAAACTCCACAGCGAAACTGTAGCTGAGCTTTCATCTTGCTGCCCTGGGTGTGGTTGCTGTGTTCTGAGAGCTGTGAGGAGGCCTCAGATCAGAGAAAGAAGTCCATCTGTGATACAGTTATGAGAGTGACTTTCAGAAGGGAATCTCTGGAGGGTGGTGCTCCCCTTCTTAGCTGAGTAAGTCAGGCTGTCTTCAAGAGTGGCGTTTCCCTGGGGTGGGCGTCAGCTCCATCGAGGACAGGACGGATGAGAAATGGCAACCTCTGGGGAAACACAGGATGTACTCAGCTCCTTGAGTGACTTACCGTGCGGCAAGTTTGTGGCAGACAACGCCGGTGTCTGTAATGACCTCACTCAGTCTCAGCTCCAGGTGGACCTTGCCCTGCAAGGCACAAGGACAGTGTCACAACCAGACAAGGCTTTGTTCCAGCAGATCCCAAACCTAGGCTAAGACACTAAGAGAGTGTTTGCAGCCCACTGATCTTATACTGGCTTGAGGGTAATGGACTCAAGAACACTGAAAAAAAAAAAAAAGGACTCTTGGACACAAGGCATGAGGCCCCTAGAAGTGCTGAGTGTGTATATTCAGGGCATGTGGGAAAGACTCTCCCGAGAGAGCCACATCTCCATGGGGAGGCCAGAGCACCAAGCCTTACTCTTCATGAAGAATGTTAATTTTTACGGTCGCGTCTAGAAGGGCAACAGGCAGCTGGCAACCCAAGGGTCCATGAGATTTCGGGGGGAAAAGGCATCAGGAAGAAGAGGCCTGTTCTACATGTGATGTGGGTCACATGGGTCAGCTGCAACCAAATGTTAGTCCAAGACATCTGTAATCAGAGAAGGGGAGGCTAACCCAAGGCCTTTTGTGATCGGACACTTTTGGGCTACGAAGCCTTTAAAAACACCAAAACTTAACTTCATTTACACCAAAGACATGCCACCGTTCTCTGCCACTGTAGCTAGACCTTCACTTTATCAAATGCAATTCTGTCAGGAGCCCCCCAGGAACTCCTCAGCGACATCAGTTAGGCTCAGCGTCCCTTCTAAGACTGTCAACTTCAAACCTCACCAAAATCCTATGTCGTGTTGTGAAAACCAAGAACTGTGACAGAGCTTGAGGAACCTGTCTCTTCACTTAGGCGGTTCCCCTTTCACGACTGTGACGATCACGCCCAGGCTCTCAAGGGTGCCTTTCTCCTGAGAGCCTTTCTCTTAACCTTCGTGCTTAGGTCTATATTCAAATTAAACCTTATTAAACCCCAGTTCGGCATCATACAAGCCAGTCTTGAAATTCTCTTTTGCACTGAAGCCACAAATCCTGTTTTGACTCGAACTGAGGTCTCTCAACGTCTAGGGAAACTCCTTCGGTGAGAGGAAGAGCGGTGCCTCCTGCCTTTGCCACCCCAAAATGTTGACATAAGGTGTCCTGGTTGTTTTTTTGTCACCTTGACACAAAGGTATACATATCTGAGAAGAGAGAGCCACGATTGAGAAAATGTGTCGCTAAGATCGGGCTATAGGCAAGCCTGAGGAGCATTTTCTTAATCAGTGATTGATGTGAGAGGGCCCAACCCTTTGTGGGTTGTGCCACCCCTGGGCAAGTGGTCCTTGACTGAATAAGAAAACAGGCTAAGCAATCCATGAGGAGCAAGGCAGTACGTGCACTGCTACGTGGCCCCTGCAGCAGCTCCTGCCTCCAGCTTTCTGCCCTGGGTGATGGACTGCAAGCTGGGGGACTTCCTCCCCAAGTAGCTTTTGCTGTGCTGTTTTGTTGCAATAGGAACCCTAACTAAGAAGGACCAGGACCAGCTCCCTGCCCCAGTTGTTTGTTGGGAAGGAAAACCCCCAAACAGCAAGACCCACAGTATCAAGTGATTTTTGTGGCTCCATCTTCCAAGACTGGTGGGGATTGCCCAAAGCTACCACTTCCCAAAGCTTGAGTGGCTGCTGGCTCAGGCCTGAGCTTAGAAAGGGAAGTGGCCCTCCCAGGCCCTTGAAGGCTTTACCACCAGCAGACATCCTCAGCACCCAGCTGTGAGCTGCTCAGATGGATGGAGCAGAGCTCATCTCTATCTAGCCTCTAAAAGGCAGAAGCACTGGGGTGAGGTGGATGACCCCACCGCCCACAGCTGATGGCAGCTGCCTTCCTGTTTCCTGTTTTTCCCACACACCAGCCGTGCCCAGAGACTCAGCACAAACACTCCTCACAAGGGCGGCTCCCACCTCAATGAGCAGCAGCTTCCGTTTCTAGAGGTCTGGGAGAGGCCAGGAGGTGAAACAGCCGACTGCACGGTGACCCCTCTGCACCACAATGCTGCTCTAGGCAGGCGTGTGGGCCAGAAGCCGTCCATCTCTGTGCATGATGGGCGTTTCCTTTAGGGCGGGGTGTCAAGGTGGAGCTGGGAGACGCCTCTTGCGTTTCATGGGCAGGCATCGAACAACAAACCATGAGGTTTACATCTGTGTTTCTGAGGTTTACACCTCAGAGCCACACCCTCTGTTTCCAGGTCCCATATCTGGGTCCAGCTAGCTTCTACACCAGGGGAACCTTCCATCTCTTCTGAAGACCTACTGAAGGGCGGGAAGGTGTCCTCGAATTCACCCTGATCCGTGAGAAAAACACCTCCTGATGGTCCAGAAGGGAGTGCTGTAGGTCACCCTTTAGTCCTACTTAAGGTGAATATCGAGATGTCCATGAATGGAGGCAGTGACAGGAACTGACAGGCTTCAAGGTTTCACTGTATTAGGTCCTGAGAGGAGCCAATGAGGGTTCCTAGACCTTGTCATAGAGCAGGGAATGCCCAATTGAGTTAACTGGGGACAAGAGAAGTACCTTTAGTGTCAGTCATCAGATACGTGGCGGGAAAACCACAGCGTTCACTCTCAGAGCTCATGGGAACAAACCGGAAATTGATAGCGAAAATAGACACTCGAAATACACGGAGATGACAATGACTTCTAAACACCACACTGGTAAAAGAAGTCTCAAGAGGAATTCAAAAATATTTTTAAGTAAATGAGAAAGAAAGTACAGCTTATCAGAATATGTGGGAGCCCTGGAAACACTGTATTGGAGGGAAATTCCGAGTCCTAGCTGCATGCTCTGGAAAGGGAAAGACTGAGAATCGGAAACCTTGGAACAGAATTAATCCCCCCGAAAGCAGGAACAACCAAAATACCCGCTTAGAAGTAAAAATACAAAAACAAAATCTGAAAGCAGGAAGCCAGAGGAAATCAAAACCCCAATCAGATTCTCTGAGATCGTTGAAGTGATAGACCTGTAGTCAGGCTACCAAAAGCAAAGAGAAAGACGCAGCTTCCCAGAGCTGCAGAGAGGGTGTGCCTAGCCTGAGCATTCAATGTGAGGCTGCCGGGCAGCAAGCTGGCTGTGGCCCGCTTACCACAGAGGGTGTGCATGTGAACTGTGCACTTTGAGAAACAGTGACTGCCAATGAGGGCACTGTCACGAGGGCATTGTCAAGGCCCCAGGAAGATGTGCTCAGCTCAGATCTCTGCTTAGTTTCCCCATAAGCTTAAAATGGTAACAAATTTTGAAGTTTATCGCTGCCTCAGGAAATGGAGAGTACTCCTGGCCAGTCCCCCATGAAAAGGTGGCCCGTGCTAGTAGACATTCCTCGCTGACCTGTCCCTGTGAGCCTGAGGGGCCAGTAGGCCAAGTAGGCCAAGACAGGGAGAAATGTGGACCTGTCTCTAGGTGAGATTTGTGTAGCAAGTTAGCTACAAGAAAGCAAAAAGAAAGGCAGGACTGGGGGAAGGAAGGAAGGAAGGTAGGAAGGAAGGAAGGAAGGAAGGAAGGAAGGAAGGAAGGAAGGAAGGAAGTCAATGTTTCCCCCAGGTCGCCATGCTTTCAAAACCCTTAGAGACATGCCCTTGACCATGGACAGCTGATGGCAGTCTTTTGGATTGTCTGACATACCAGAGACAAATCCCCAAACACTCTGGGGAGAGGTGCAATGTCCACTCTTTCTCTGATCTTCAGGGCCAACCCATGTCCCTGAGATGGTATTTGCCTTGGGCCTGATGAATTACAGATCTATGGCGATATACCACGTGTCCTGAACACATCATATGTCCAGAACTAGTTCAGAAACACTGATCTGGGGGCACGCAGTAGGGGAGAGGCCAGTGGGAGCAGGATCAGGGCTGCCTAGCCCCTCACCATTCAGAACTGGAGGACCTTGGATGCTACAGGATGCCCCGCCAGCTGGAGCCCCTGACTTCTTGACAGGGTCATCCCTGTAGCTGACATGTCTTTGTAAAGGAGAGGCGACTGGCTCTATGTAATAAAGGGGCTTATCAAAGGTTTTTGAAAAGCACCAGTTATGGGAGCAAGGCATTTCGCCATCTCTTCCTCCACGTCTGTGACACACAGTCTCTTCCTGTGGGCCCAGTTCCCTCGGTCGTAAGGCGTGATTCTTCCCTGTGAATTACAAAACAGGTGGATCCAAGAACACAAATGCCACTTCTAGAGACTGTAAATGTGACATTTCAAAACAAGCCACAGCTGTGGCGCAAAGATGGCGATTACCATTTAAAGGTCAGACTGAGGGGAGGAGCTGGCTGCCTATCTGAGCCTCTCTGTGAATGAGGTTCTAGCGTCATACGCACCAGAGATACTGAGCGCTACAGAGAGCTACTTATTCCTTGGCCTGACGACAGCAGCTTGGTCCTTTTTTTAAAAAAAATATTTTATATCTATTTTTTATTTTATTTGTGTGTGGGTATTTTGCCTGCATGTGTATCTGTGCTGCATGTGTGTGCAGTGGCCAGAAAAGGGCGTTAGATCTCCTAGAACAGGAGTTGCAGACCATTGTGAGCCGCCAAGCAGGTGCTGGGCCCTCTAGAAGAACAGTCAATGCTCTCAACTAGCCCTTTCATGAGCCCAGGGGATTAGAAGCTTGGCCGTTAAGAGCCAAGCTTCAAGGGAGAAAAACCTGCCCCAACTTTAGTCAGCTTCTGGCATTGATTAGGAAGTTCCCTCCAGAGATGAGATTGACGCGTGCATCTCTACCCATAGCTTTGTGGTGACAAAATGATTCTAAATCTTAATTGTAGAAGCTGTTATACTAATGTGTCCATGGGATAAAGCTGCAAAGAAATCTAAGAAACAAGCAGCAATGTCGACTCACACGCTGTCCATCGGTTAACAGGTATGTCAAATGGGGTCCTGCCCCCGGCCTTAGAAAGACAGGAAATCCTGACATCCTACAACACTGGGCTGGACAGTCAGGGAAAGGAGACAGTCACTGAAGAGACAGGCTTCAGGGTTTTACTCACATGAGTTCTAAGCAAAGCCAATGTCCCCCCACTCCTGGCCCAGCGGTGAAGTGGATTCTGGGCCTGGGAAGCCCTGAGGGGCAGGCAGGCTACCCGGGCCTGGAGTCCTAGGACACCATGGGTTCATGGCTCAGAGCTTCCCTGGTTAGCTCTTGGTTAGCTTCTGCTGAATTACAGCCCAGGTCTTTATCTAGATTTTCCCCAGCTCCACCTACTCGGCATAAACACAGCACAAATCCTCATATCCCACAATGCACCTAGCACTGCTAGGCGACATGCAAGTCTCCTTAGCCTACAAAGCCCCCACTTTACAGGTGAGAAACTGAGGCTTGCAGACGCCAGCCAACCAGTCACATTACTCCCGAACATGGTAGCTGAGTTCTGATTGACCCAGCTTCCAGTCATGACATGGCCACAGCCGGGCACCCGCCAAGTGAAAGACCGTGGCAGCCACTCTTTACCTAGAATCAGGGCTCCTGACAGTCCCGTAGCCATGAACAGGTCTGTGCCCTGGGCGAGTGACCCTGCTGCATCCTCTCTTGCGGGCAAGCACAAGAGTGACCGTGCTAGGTTATAGCATTTTGTGTTGCTCATCAGGGATCAGGCATGCCAGCCTACTTACTAAGCCCGCACGATCTCTCTGTCCCTATATGCTGGGTGCTCAGTCTCAGAGGGCAAATGATGCAGGCAGGCCATGGGGGAAGCTTGAGGTGGTGAGGACCTGAGGGCTGGCTAGTTCTGTGGCTCAGCTACCCTCACCCAGAATAGCAGAACGGAGCCCTGCCCAAGTTTACTGCACGCTCTTTGCCTTCTCTGTGCCACCTCCCTTCCCACCTTCTGTATTTTTAAAGCTGGTTCCATCTGCCTGACAAAGTGTGCCAACAACCAGAGCAACAAACACGACTAACAAGCAGGCCCGCAGAGCCTGATCTCGGAAGGGAACACAGCGCGCAGGCTCTCCCCACCTCAGGACCAGCCTACAGCTTATCTGACCACAACCCCACACTTGAGCAAACCTTACCTGCACCTCCGAGTCCGCATCCACGTGCTGGAGCTGGAACCATGTGTCCCTGTTGTGGTACCTCTGCAAGTCCTCCTTCTGGATGGCCACCTTGCCTGGGACACGGAAAGAGAACAGAGGCCTTGGAGCGGGAGCCGTGGAAAGACGGAGGTCAAGGAGGCAGGGTCCCCACTCCTTAACAAGGTTAAGATTTGGATACTCCAAATCTTGAGAACACACGTCCCACTGGCTTTGGTCAAGGCTGCAGACTTGCCTGCCCGTGTAACAGCACTTCCTACAAGCTAAATGGCACAAGAGCCAGCTCTTACAAATAAGCGCTCTTCCGCCTTGCCTGTTATCTAAGTTGCTGCAGCAATCTGGCTGTAAGAGCAAGGGGTCAGCCTGTTTTCCACCATTAATGGCCTGCAGGGCACCCACACAGCAGAGCTGACTGCCCGTCCTCCATGTCCCTGCTGTGGTCCTTCCCACAAAACACACTTTATACGTTTATGATAACTCGGTAGAAATGTGTCTGCTATTAAAAGCTGTAGGTTGGGACACGAATGTGCACTGTAAATTTATAGCTCATGGGGCACACGTGCGTGGCATGCGGTCATGCACACGTGCCTGAAGGACAGCGCTTGCCACGAGGGCCTTCCTCCCCTCCCCCCCTGTTGGGCATTCCCTTGAGTTTTCCACTACAGGGTCCTGAGGCCTCCGACCACTGAAGGCAGCTACTGTGTGGCTCTTGCAAAACAGACCTTGTCCGACAGTGGAAGGTGATTCTTTTTAAGTGTCTTGTGAATAAGCCACATGAAACAGGCTTGTGTCTGGGAAGAAGGATAACGAAATCCTTGGGTCCTGTGCCCAGCCCGATGGAAGGCTAAGCTCTGGAGTTTGAAACTCTAATAGCTGTGTTCTTGCTACGCTATGCTCTCATTGGCTGACCCGGGCAGAGGGAGCAGTATGCATACCGCTCCTCCTGAGTCCTGTGCTGTAGACATCGCTACCAGCATTCGTTTTTGGGATTACTTCATTCAATTTTTACAAGATTCAAGACACTCAGAAGGCCAGGACAGTGAAGGAGCAGCACTCTCCGGGGACCGGCTCCCCCACGGGGTGCCTGTCAGCTTCTTCTTCTCCCAGCTGCGAAACAGATCAGTTCTCCCCAAAGCAGGCGGTGTTAAAGTGAGGCTACCCCTCATTCTTGGTCCGTCTGCACGAAGTCATCTTCTCCTCTGTGTGGTGACAAGGTCATGGGCTTGTCAGACAGAAGCACCATGCTTCTTGACCCCTCTCAGCCACAGAACCATCGCCCACACTGGCTTCTTTACCGAGAAGTTCTCGCTACAAGGATTTTGTTTCTAACGTCTCAGATGAACCAGACTGCTGACCCAAGCACTGTAGGTAACGTGGCGACTTAAGGAAAAACAGTGAGTTCAGTTCGCAAGACACACCTGCTTGTGGCCCAAGCCTCTCACACAGCCCAACCTACCGAAGCCTTTCCCCATCTCCAAGATGGAGCACCTCAGGCGTGTCTTGGTGAACTTTCTCTCACCGTGGATTCCTCCAATGGGACTATTTTGTGAGACATACACTTGTGTTCTTCTAGGAGGCCAGCATCTGTAGAACTGTGGTGATGCAGGTGGATTTCAGCTACAGTATTCTACACCTGGTGCCTGGCTGTGCCTTAGTGAGGTGCGTTTCCATGCCTCATCTGTTACCCTCTTCTCCAGGAGCTGCTACTGGAATTGACCTCCCTTCGGTCTTCTAGACATTCACAACCTGATCCTTCAGGCTCTTCCTCTCCCTGGTAAGAGAGACCTGCCACCTGGAGGTGCCCATTCCTCATGGCCTGCAACCAAGAGGCCATGGGGATGGCGAAGGCCTACAGACAGCCCACTAAGTGCCCGAGGCTCTGACAGCACCTCTAATACCTCAGGTAGTACCCAAGAACCTAAACAGCAGCACCAGATCCTAAGAGAGGAACTCCACCCACAAGACCACAGAGAGAAACTGAAAAACTTCAAACACCAGATCCTAGGTCTGCTCTGCCTGAGAAAACCCCAATCCCGGATCCTAGGAAGACCCTTGGCACCTCTGAATTCCCCAAATCTTCAAGTACCCTCTAGTGAAGAAACTAGATGTTGGCAGTAGCCAACCAAGGTCTGTTGGAAAGAACTGGCTTCTAGGGTGCCAGCATTCTACACTTAGAAGGACAAGCTCCCTACTGTCCACTGAACTCAGGGCCTTGAGCCCTGTGCCAGGTGGAAGCCATGGGTAAGGAAGGAAGCAGTCTGAAATCGAGGCTAGCAGTCACAGGAAACACACACAGATGAAACCCGGTCAAAGGTGCCGTAATCAAAAGATTCAATTTCGTAGGCAGACCATCTGCCTGCGCACCATGGTCTAGGGAAGCCCCGGGGCAGACCCTGGTTACAAACTGCCAGCAAACTGTCCGCAGAAGAGCCCAGGCCCTACACTCTGAGGACACTACAGCAAAGGGCATGACCCTGAGAATGGCTAAACTCCATAGCTAAGTACTGATATCCTTAGAACAGCAGGCGCTCCCACAGTGAGTTCCCTGACAGGGAGTTTTCACACACAGTGCCTGCCCACCAACAGGAAAACCACCTGCCCTAGTATCCCCCCTGTGAAACACCTGGACTAACAAATTTCCTTCATTCTTGCAAGCCATGGCCCACTTTTCCCTTGGCGTGTTTGGAATGCACATGGCTTACTGGAGCTGAGGAACACTCATGGTCTTGTCTCTCTCCGGGTGACACTGAAGCAGGTGAGAGAAATAGAAGGCTGGCTGTGGCAAGTTTGGGGTTTGCTGGTGGGAGCCACAGCTGAATCCTTGGCATATAAAACCAGCAGAGACAGGCAGCCCTCCTGCTCCTCCGCTACAATCTTCCACCAGCTCTCATTATACCTGTCAGAGAGTGCGCCAGCTTAGGGGATAACACAGTTGTTAGAGCGACTGCCTAGACTCAGTCTCCAGCATCACAGAAACCACGTACAGCTGTGCGTACTATCAACCCTGGCACTCAGGAAGCGAGGGCAGAAAGACTAGAGGTTTAAGCTCACCAGCTACATAGCAAATTGGAGGTTGTGCTACACGAGACCTTGTTTGGGAAAAAGGAAAAGACAAAGAAAATGAAGTAGCAACAAAATCTACAAGCGCAGAAAGGTGTTGCACACACAGCACTCTGGGGGCTCAGGGGTCCTATGGTGGAGCCGGCCTCTGCAGGAAAGTACAAGAAAAGCCGACAGCAGGGACCGGGAAACACTCACGACACAGACACACAGGGATCTGTGTAGGAAGAGTGCTGAAGAGACAGTCCTCAGGAGGGTGCCGGAAGGGGTCGAGCCTGGCTACCCACAGATCAGGGTCAAAACAGTCTGCAAACTGGGACCCTATGATGTGTCCCCAATAGGGCACATCTATTTTCGATTTCTAATAATGCAATGCTATTGATGAAAAACCAGGATTCTCCAGCTGTCTGTGAAAGTGAAAATTTGGCCCCAAGGTCTCCTCAGCTCCCCATCCCCACAGCAGCTGAGGGCGCCCTGGGCACCCCTGCTAGCAGCTAACACAGGCTCATACTCCAGAGCCCTGATGTGCAGTCGCCACCAGGCAGAAATAAGAAGCTTCTAACATCACAGCCCCTTCAGACAGAGGCTGGTCAGAGCCCGGGTCTTTTAGTGTCCTGCTCCTCTCAAATGGACTTCTGTCAATGCTTGGGACATACAGTGAGTGCAGAAACAGGCCATTCCAGACCCTAGTACATACCACCAACTTCACTCATTTTCTCTACCCCAGGTCATATCCAGGAATCTTGTTATTTGGGCATAAATCAGAAAGCAGATGTCCAAACTACGTCATGCTAACACGGACAAGCAACCAGTCACCATGACAGTGACAGGCTGGAATGTAGGGCTGAGTTCTGGGTTGGATCTCAGTCGGTACCATCTGGCGGTCACAGTGACAGTCCAGTTGTCCAAAGACTTTGCAGATCAACGTGCTTCCCCGTCCCCGAAGGAAGATACAGGAGACCACAGACAGCCAGTGCACAATGAGATTCCACTCAAAGAAAATTAAGAGAAGCAAGATGGGAAACAACAGGTGTGTACTAGGACAGATTACAACCATCCAAAATACTCTCCACGGATGAGAAAGAGACTAGAAGAAAGGAGTCCTTGAGGCCTGGCACCATCCAGGACCCTGAGCACCGAAGTCACCAACCTGGTTGCTGAGTACTCAACAAATGTTTGCAAAATTACTAAATAAAGAATGACACCATGTACAAAACAACTAAGATGTGCAATGCTGGAAAAGTGCGGTAGGTGTGACTGCTTTCTCCACTGTACACTTCATGTGCTTAAGGTTACACATAACTGTCTACAGTGCACAGGCTTGTTCAGGTTTATGCATTCCCACAGCACACTGACCATAGGCCAAGGACACCCCTAAGGAATGAAGAAAACTAACACATCCCTGTCTACAGACATCTTACAGACACGGAGTACAGACAAAAACACAGGCAAGGAACCCTGATATCAGATATGGAGGAGCTCTAGGGAAAATGAGGCGGAGAAGGGACTAGAGACAAGCCATAAGAGAAAAAAGCAGTGTGAATCGAGTGTAGGGCAGGTGTGCGAAATGAGGTGCGGTCTGTGTGAGGAGTGAGTGAGCTTCCTGGGAGCGAGGCTGGGTATGAAGATCGAGCTGAGGACTGGCAGGAGGGTTGAAGAGAGGCAGGTGGAAGGAGTGAGCGTCGAGTGGGTGTGAGGGAGTAGGGTGTCAGGTGTGAGGAAAGATGAACTACAGATGAGAGACACAGATGAGGTTAGCTGTGAAAGGAAAGGTGAGATCTGGGGCGAGGTGTCAGGAAAGGTGAGGTGGGTATGAGAGACAGGAATGAGGAGGTATGAAGTAGTAGAATAAAGTGGGTGTGAGGACTGTGTGAGGCCAGAGCAATGAGTAGGGTGAGATGTGTCCAGAGTGAGGTCAGGTGAGTATAGGGGAGGAAGGCAAGGAAAATTCTGTATGAGGGCTGGATTAAGGGTGTGTGTGTGTGTGTGTGTGTGTGTGTGCGCATAAGGGCTGAGGTATAGGACAGTGGTGGTGCCCATGAAGGAAAGTGTGAAGGGCATAGTGAGACGAGGTGTGGAGGAACGTGAGAGATGAGGTGAGATATTGGAGGCGACATGTGGCAGACATGAAAAACAAGTGTGAGGCTGTGAGGAGCATAAGGTAAGCATGAGAAGCGACTGTGAGGTTGAGTGTGAGGCGTGTGAGGTCAGATTCAAGGAGCAAGGCGAGACACGTGTGAATGGTGGAGTTAACATGGGATATGAGGGGGAAGAGGTGAGGCCTGCATGAAGGGTGAGGTAAGGCGAGGTCTGCTGGGGGGTGAAATGCAGAAGGGGCGGTGGCTGGTGTGAAGGTGAGGTGGGATGTGAGGGCCAAGGTGAGGTCTGGTGTGAGGGTTATGTGAGGGAAAAACAAGTAAGAGATGTGTGGCAATTTGGGTGAGAATGGCCCCTATTATGTTTGAATGCGTGGTCCTCAGTTAGCAGAACTGTTTGGGAAGGATTAGGAAGGTGTGGCCTTGTCTCTAGGGGTGGGCTTTGAGGTTCAAAAAGCCCACGTCAGGCCCAGTCTTAGTGTCCTCCTCCACCCTCTCAGTCTTTCTCACTCTCTGAGTCTGTCCGGGCTTAGGCTGGCGCCCTCCTGGCTTCGGCAGTATTATCTCCTGCATCCTGTGACTTGTTCAGGCCAACCCACATGGGACCGCCAACAGCACGGAGAAGGTGGTCACTCCCTACCTTGACCAATGTGGGTCAGGTAGGCAGTGGCACCCTCCGCCTTTGCAGTGGTGAACTGCGGCCCTCCCCATCACTGCTCTCCTGCTTTGGATAATCCCAGATTAAAGGGAGTATCAAAATAGGAACTACCCTCTGGTCTGCTCCATCACCTAGACTCCTCACATAATTGTTGTCTCAAGCGAGTATCAGGATTGCTGCCTTCTCGAAGCCACAGGGAAACTGAGGCTCGGTGACACAAGGGGTTAATGTGGACTTCAAACATGTCTCTGTCCTTTTTGTATCCCTACAGCTATGCTGGGGTTAGGGATGAGAGCAGTGCAGAGACAGTGAAGATGAAAGGCTCACAGCCTATACTGCCCTGTGGTACCCTGGGAAGGACATTTTGGGACATGCTATATGGTAGCCTTAAAGTACTGCTCGGAAGGCCCTGATCAGTGTGTTCCAGACATGAGATCCCAGTATCAAGCTTTTCAGCACACGGTCAGGTCAAAGGGCAGGACGACGTAAGAGGCTACAAATACTGGCCAGGGCGCACCGGCAAGCCTCCAAGCTACTCCCATCAGGAGTGACTCAGAGCCATACGGTCTTATCCAGGAAGGCTTCAAATTAAACGCTAATCTCCTTCTGGTCATAAGGGCAGCAGGTGCTTAGGAGAGATTTGCCATTTCTACCAGAATGAGACCCTGTTTGTAAAAGGAAGAAAACATCCATTTACGTACCTACCATTTAAGTACCTACCTATGATGGAATCCCTTCGGAAAACATCTCTATCAAAAATGTAAAAGGACAGGTGACGAAAACTCCGAGGGATTTCACAGTAAAAGTCCTCTCCATAAAAGGGGCTAGACAAACAAACAGAATGCACAGGGTTAGAGTCTATATGGCTGAGTCCTCCCAAAGGCTGATGCGCCCAGGGGATGGACCTGATCAGAGAGCTCAATGGGGGCGGGTGGGGGGTGGGGGCTGCTGGTCATTAACAATCTCCAGCGCATGTATCCACACGTAACGCCAACCCCAAGACCAGCACTGTGACTGTAGCTGAGAGGAGGATGGCAGCATTCACTGATGAAAAGGAAAACACACACACACTGAAGTTTCAGACACGCTCCTTTCCCACAGAGACCTGTCTGCCCTTGGTTCTCGTACGGAGGGGACCCAGCCCCATGGCTGACTCCCACTGCTCTCACGGCTCATCAGCCCCCTCATGAGTCACCCCATAGCTGCAGCTGCTCTACAAATGGAGACTTAAAATAAACCGAAGTTCTAATTAAAGGGGCAGAAAGCCAGCGGGCTTTGTCACTAAACAAACTTCCTATTGTTCTGGGCTAGGAAAAACTGGCTCATGACACTGGGAGGATGACACCAGACCTGGGGGACTGTTTAGGAAACCCAGCGATGACTTCAGCCCAGACATGAGGGCCTGGCTTGAGATGAGATGCGATTCCAAATCCATGCGTGGTTGTGGCTGAGGTCCAAAACAGGAAGGGTGACTATTGAAAGGGAGCCCAAGCAGTGTGCCACAGGCAGAGACGGCAGAGGGAGCCCACAGGGCCAGGGCCACTGGCCTGCGTGCAGCACTTGCTCACCAGCACATACAAAATGAACGCCAAACAGCTCACACACCAAACCTAACGGCGAAAACTACCAACTTCTCAGAAGTACGTGGGAACAAAGCTGCAACCCAGAGTTAGGGGAAGACTTCCTAGATATGATATAAGCAAGACTGTCAAAAAGACAACATCGGTTAAGTTAGGCCATTAAAATGTAAAATATTAATTTAAGACGTCTAGGCTTGGGGACTGGACCGACGGCTCGGTGTTAAAAGCACGGGCAGTTCTTCCAGAGGAGCTGAGCTCAGCTCTCAAGAGCCACATCAGGCAGCTCACAGCTTCCTAGAACTATAACTCCAGAGCAGCCAACACCCTTTTCTGGCCTCTCCAGGCACCTGCACACACACATGTCAGATACACATACACACGAAAATAAAAATTAGTCTTTGAAAACTTTATACTTTAAAATACATAATTAGGAGAGTAGAAATGAGAACCTTTGGAAGAAAATATCTCCAACTCAGTTACCGGAAGATGGGCTTGTGTCCACAGTAGGTACAATTGTATCACTCTTAAGCCAAATGACCAAAAAGCATACCAAAAAAAAAAAAAATGCCAGACATCATTAGCTGTTGTGATTTGTGATGTCCCCCTACAGGCTCGTATTTTGGACACTTGATTCCCAGTTGGCAGTACTACTTTGGGGCGGTGTGGAACCTTTGGGACTATTGCTTAACTAGCAAAAGTGGGTTCCTGAAGGCAGGCCTTGACGTGACACCCCTGCTTCTTCATCTGCCAGAGGGTGAGAAATGGCAGCTGCTTCTATCAGGTATTTTGCCATGGCATCGAAAAAAGTAACTACACATTGGTCATGGGGAGTGTAAATGAAACCAGGGGAGGCAGGTGAGCCTTCCATCCTGGCCTCTGGGTAGGGCCGCGCCACTTAGTGCCCGCCCTGGGCTCAGAGAGGGCGCTGGGCACACCTGCCTTCTCAGGCCAGGGCTGTGGACGCGCACTCCATTCAAATGTAGGATCATTTGTATGCAGTATAATTTGGCAGAAATGGGGTGAAGTTCGCATAAGAAACTACCTCTTTGCAATGAAAACAAAATCCTCAAAGGGAAAGCCAAGAGCTGAAGTTGTTTAGCGCATGTTGGGTTCAGAGAAGTATTAACTAAAGACAATGAGAAATATCATTTCACCTTTCACAGACGCAGGAAGCCCAAGGACTTCCATCCAGAGTTTCTTGGGTTAACAACGCTTTCTAGGGAAACTGCACTTAGCCGCTGTATCCACGTGAGCCTTTGATTCTCCTGTTTGTGAGTCGGACACAGATCCACCCTGAGAGCAAGGCCCCGGGGAAAGCTCCAGTCCTCAGCCTCCTTGCACTGGGCACTGGTCTCTCAGGTCTATGATTCTCTCTGCAACTGAGAACCTTAAACATAGTGTGAAGATCAACGGCACACATGAGACTCTCCAAAACATGGGAGTTAGAACTTCCAGGTCAGGAGTCCAAGCGTGGATATGGGTGCTAAGTGCCCGTAATCCTGTGTGTGTGTCTCTGGGTGTGGCATGTGCGCCCACGCCCGTGGATGCAGGCGTGAGTGTGTCCGGTACGCCAGTGGACACGTGTGCTTGTGGACACAGATGCGTGCAGATGAGCACCTGTGAGCACATACGCACATGTGCCTTCAGGCGTGTGTCTGTGTACTCTGGTGCAGCTGTGTGTGCACTGTCCTGCATGCCTGCATGAGCCTGTAAAGCGCATGCACGGCCCACAGACCCACGCGTGTCTGTCTCCCCACAAGGCACTGCCTTAGCAGTGTGGCCTGAAACCTGTTCAGCCCCACAAGGGGTTTTGAAAACAAGACCGACCCCTCTTTATTCCCATCTGTGAAGGTTCCAAGAGGATGTGTCACTGTGGACACAGCCCATGCTCCACAGGCTTTGGTCGGATAACAGAAGAAACTGTCATCAGTCCCGAAACTCACAGAAGGGGGCACAGAGTAAGAATAAGCCCAGACAAGCACTTTTTCATCCACCACAAATCCTCAACAGCTGCAAGAGCTACTAAATAGCTCCACTCAGTAGTCAACCGTAAAACGTTCAGGTTTTTTGTTTTGTTTTGTTATTTTTGAGTTTTAAAGCATGAAACAGCTCCTCTGCGTATACTTGTGTCAACACTCAGGGACCGATGCTAAAATGACTCTTTGGGTTAAGACACTTGAATATTCAACCTCAAAACCATCAGGCATGTCTGCCCCTCCTGGGAAGCCTGTGGGGAGGACGTCTGAGGACCAGGCTCCGGGAACTGATTTCCAGCGCGATCCTTGGTCACAGCAGATCCTGCCACATCTAGGGTCCCACCCCCATAACCACCCACTGAGAGGCTTTGCATTGTAAATGTCCGAGATGACTTACAAAGGGAAAGAGATTGTTTTGGCTGAGTCTTTTTTTTAAATTCCAGTCCGTGACTGTTTGGCCTGTTGTCCTGGGGCATGTGAGACAGACACATCATGGCCCAGGCATGTGGTGCAGCTAACATTAACTGCGTGTGAGGGAAGCAAAAGGGGAAAAGAGCAAAGGGCTGGGACCTCACTATCCACACCAGGGCTGTCCCAGTGGCCTGAGGATGTCCAGGAGGCCCGATACAGCAGGCAAGTGAGCTTTTTTTTTTTTTTTCTTCTAGTAACTTCAACCACCTTAAATGTTTTTCTTCATTTCTTGTAAATTTTTTTTTTTTTGGTTGGGTGGGGTTTTGTTTGTTTGTATGGAACTGGGTCTCACCATACAGCCCAGGTTGGCCTGGAGCTCACTATGTAGCCAGGCCAGCCTTGAATTCACAGTGCTCCCCCTGCCTTAGTTGGCTGAGTATTAGGATTCTAGGTGTGTGCTACCATGCTTGGCGTTATCTTTTTCCATATAACTTTTTTATTTGAGTTTTGCTGGTTATCTTTACTTCCTGAGAGTCACCTCAGAACTTTGGGAATTAAGGAGGGACAGTGGCAGGTGAGGAGCTATTGTGCCGTGGGTTAAATTCTCTTTCAAGCTGGTAAACAGAGAGAGTGCAAGCAACAGGGCAAACGTTAAGTCCAGATCTGAGGAGCATGGTGCCCACACAGAAGGAAAATATGTCACTCTGCTGGTCTGGGGGAGGGGCTCTTTGCCAAGCAACCAACCGACCCATGGAGCTTTGAAGTTTGAGTGTGGCTGAAGAGAAGAGGCCAAGGAGGCTGGCCTGGCAGAGCTGGTGTTTGTTTTCTTGGGAGGCGAGGGTTTCAGAGAGACAGAGCCCACGTCCTGAATACAATTCACTCATCTCTCCTTTCTTTAAGACAGTTTTGGGTGTTTTTTTTTTTCTTTAACATTTAGTGTGTGTGTACATGTGCCATGGTGAGCATGTGCCGGTCAGTGGGCAACCTGGGGTCAGTCTTCTCCTCCCACCATGTGGATTTCAGACTTAGATCATCAGGCTTAGCCGTCAGCACTTGCACCCCCCCCCCCCCAGAAGGAAACCAAAACCCGTGACCTCCCCACCCCCAGTCATCCTACCCTGGTGGGCATCTGTGGTCTCAGCCCAATGAGAACCCAGCAGGGCTGGTTTACCAGAGCATGGAGACCCGCAGGGCACTTCGGACCCTGATCTGTAGCCAGCACAAGTTAATGCCAAAGACACATGAGTTTCCCCAGTCCAAGTGACGGCAGGCCGTGGGTCAGCTGGGCAAGCTGCAGTGGGCTACCTGCCTTAGAGCAGAAGTCAGAGCTCACAGAATCCACCCTCATGCACGGTCACCAGGACAGGGCGACGCGGTAGATGAGGCAGCAGGCCAGGTGGGTCAGCTCTCAGAAGCAGAGTGCCCACAGTATTATCTAGCCACAGAGCTGCTGGGAGCATTCCTGAGAGGCCCCAGGCTCCAAGCCACTTCTAATCACTGGCACTGTTACAGGCCGGTGCTGCTATCCACGTGCCTCACGGGAAAGGCAGTGAGCGTGTGCAGCCAACTGCCCACCTCGCCTGCACCCCAGCCTGGCAGTCTAGGCACAGACTGGCCTCCCAGCCACGCTCTTGTGCAACAACCAACTTGAGATTTCCAAAGCATCTGGCTTGAGCGTTTCGGGAACTCCAAGTACTGGAGGCTCATTCTTACTAAGAGGGTGGGAATGAAATCTAACTTTGGGGTTTAGAAGTGCGGCCTTTTGGGTCTGATCAAGAGACGTTAAAGAGAGCTGGGTATGGTGACTTTTGCCTGTAATCCCTGCTACTTGGGAGGCTGAAGGATTATCAGTGCCAG